GGGGAGGGTCCTGCCTTATGTCGGCCCTTGCAGACAGCTTCTGGGTTTGGAAGAGAAGGGCAAATTCCTTCTGCACGCGTGTCAGGAGCCCAGAGGGAGTTAGGGCCTTAGCAGCATGAGCAATAGCGCTTGTTGCTCTTAAGGGTGCTGTTGGTAGTGTCTGTGGATCAGCCTGCCCTTCGCTTCTCGTGATCATTTGTTTAAATTATTTGTTTGAAAAAAAAACCAAACGGGGAAGGGGGTATATTGGGTGTAAGGCCATATTGGGCAGCCTGGTTTGGCAGAAATGCCACTGAAAAGAGTCCGTAGGGCAATTATTTATGGGAGAGAAGAGACACTCTAGATGGGTATTCTGTTGGCATTAGTTCAACTGTCATCTTATGCTGACTTTAGTAGGCATGGTGGTGTTGGGTTGGCGGTTGGACTCGATGATCTTGGAGGTCTCTTCCAACCTTAATGATTCTATGATTCTATGATCCATTGTCTCCCTGAGGTGCCAACGATGGCTGTAGAGAAAGTCTTTGTGTACAACAACACATCCATTGTGCAGGATGAAATTCTGGCTCATCGCTTGGGCCTCATCCCTATCCGAGCTGACCCTCGCCTCTTCGAATATAGAAACCAAGGTGAGAGTCTTGGATCAAATAGAAATATTGACAGTTTCCCCTGAAGCAGGAAATCAGGGTCACGTAAACTGAGCAGAAGTGTGACTCCATAGAGGCTCACGCTGTTCTCCCCTTCCCAGGAGATGAAGAAGGCACAGAAATTGATACTCTGCAGTTCCAGCTGAAAATAAAATGCAGCCGAAACCCTCAGGCAGCCAAAGAATCATCTGATCCTAATGAACTATATTTCAATCACAAAGGTGAGATCTCTCCTAAAAATAGGTGCTGTTTTTTTCTTTTTTGGTCTTGGGAGGCAGGATTTCGTCTGTTCTCTCAGCCCTGTGAGCAGAGAGAGCCGATTCCCTCATTCTGCTGAACTTACTTTTTGCCATCTCCAATCCTGTACAGGTCAGCAACCTGTTTTGAGACAGCAGCTGGCTGATGCTTGTGGCTTCTCTTCGCAGTGTACAGTAAACATATGACGTGGGTGCCCCTGGGGAATCAGACAGACCTCTTTCCAGACGCTGACTTCCGACCTGTTCACGATGACATCCTCATTGCACTGTTGCGACCTGGCCAGGAAACAGATGTGCTTATGCACTGTGTCAAGGGTATAGGTGAGTCGTGGGTCCTGGGGCAGCAGGAGGAGGAGTGCGAGTGCTTGGACTAGGGCACAGCTCTGTGAAGGGGAAGGGTGGACAACTGGCCTTCCCCCTGGAACTTTAGGCCCCGGCATCCTCGCGCTCTTGCTCCCTGAGGCCTGCCCTCATCCTTAACTCTTCATGCAGGTAAAGACCATGCGAAGTTTTCTCCCGTGGCCACGGCTAGTTATCGACTGCTTCCTGACATTACTCTCCTGCAGCCTATTGAGGATGAGGCAGCTGAGATGTTGCAGAAGTGCTTTTCCCCTGGAGTCATTGAGATCCAGAACATCAAGGGTATTTTTTTTCCTGCTCTAAAGTGCCTTTTTCCTTACAAGCCTTAGCAGAGACTGATTAGAGACTAGAGCCAAACCTTGCAGAGACAAAACCACGTTGTGATGTTGTCTTGCCGATGAGAAACTGTGCATGCTATTCTGAGCCTGGTTTTATGGATGAGTGGCTGTCACATGCAGGTGTGTTGGGTGATGAACTGGGATCTCCCTGAAATGCTGAGGCATTAGGTGCCTGCCCACAGAGCCCTGCAGCCGCTGGCTGCAGCTTCCAGTACTGTTCAGTTGTCTGTAAGACTGGGTAGTGAGCTTGCTCTTTCCAGCAGCTGAGCGCGGAGAAGACTTCTTGTGTCCTGCCCAAGGGTACATACAAGCTTTGTGTTTGGGTTGAAACTGTTCAAGAACACCAGTTCTATCAGGTTGGAGTTTCATGTTGGGGATGTGCTAATTCTTTATATTTGTGGCTTTGCTGCTTTTGCTGATGGGGGAGTGCATGTTTGAGGGGTAAGCACCTGCCATGACCACAAGGCACCCATCTGCTACAGGTGCCCATCTCGTTTCATCTTTTCCCCTTTAGGAAAAAAGGTGGCAAGAGTAGCCAACGCACGGTTGGACACGTTCAGCAGAGAAGTTTTCCGTCATGAGAGTCTGAAAAACCTTGTGCGCTTGGCAAGAGTGCGAAACCATTACATCTGTAAGTGCCCCATTTTCCACAGAACGTAGAGCCCTGCTGTGGTTTGTGTAAACAAACAGAGACTGGCCAGCATGTATGACTGGGTCTCTGCCTCCCCCTTACCCCCACATCATCAGCCTTCATACGTTCATATTCCAGTGGGTAACTACCGAGGTTGTGGTTTGGTGTTGCTTTGGGATTGAATGTGTTTGTGCTTCCTGCCAGCAAATGTAACCTCTTCTCCTCTGGCTGTGAAGATCTGGCTTGTCAGAAGTGCGGTGTAAGGGAAGACATGGGACAGAAATGCTGGAGCCAGGTGTAGGCTGAAGCTGCGTAGTGGCTGTGCTGACTTGTGGCTCTGCAGTTTCAGTGGAGTCGACGGGTATCTTGCCTCCAGATGTGCTGGTGAGCGAAGCCATCAAGATCCTGATGGGAAAGTGTCAGCGCTTCCTGAATGAGCTGGACTCTGTGCCTATGGAGTGACCGGGCTGTAGCTGGGAAGCGTGTTCCTGCACTGCTGTTCTGGGCTTCCTGCACCTGCCTGCAGGGGTGATGCCTCTTCTGTAGGCAAGAGGTTTGAGATGGGCTTGTTAAGAGTCCTAGGACTGTCTCTTTGGATTTGTCTTCTGTTGGCAATGAGCCTCAGGGAGGAGATGCACTAAAATAAAGGCTTTTCTTTACAGCTGTCTCCTTCTGTGCTGTTCACAATTGCGAGACCATAATACACAGAGAAGAAAGTGGCAGCGGGTCTAAAGATGAGTAATAGCATTTATTTTAGATTGCATGCAGTATATGAAAAGGACTGATAAGGCAGTGTAGTAAAACACTTCGCAGCAGGTCAGTGAGATTTAACAAGTCAGTATCGGTGCAGGTCTGTTTTGCAGGTGTCTCAAACCAGCTCCACGTAGTTAATGATGTGGTAGATAAAAGCCTGTACTGCCAGAGGGCTGTAACACCTCTCTGATGAAGAAAGGCTGACAGAGTTTGGTTTGCTCAGCCTGGAGAAGAGAAGGCTCCAGGGAGACCTTATTGTGGCCTTGCAGTATATAAAGAGGATGTGGAGAAAGCCTTTTTACCAGGGCCTGTAGTGACAAGACAAGGGGCAAGGGTTTTAAACTGAAAGGGGGTAGACTTAGATTGGACATACGCCCTTTTTTAAAGATGAGGGTGGTGGTGAGATGCTGGAACAGGTTGCCCAGGGAAGTTGTGGGTGCACCATCCCTGGAAGTGTTGAAGGTCAGGTTGGACTGGGCTTTGAGCAACCTGACCTAGTGAAAGCTGTCCCTGCCCACAGCAGGGGGGTTGGACTAGATGGTCTTTGACCGTCCCTTCCAGCCCAAAACATTCTATGATATAGCACTGGGCTTCTCTGTGCAAAGGTGGGGTTTAAAAACATGCTCTGTAAGGACTGGCACTCCCTTCTTAAATAGCTCAAGGTAAGGCATTTCTTCCCAGGTGTTGGATTTGACTATTCTGTTCTCCCTTTCAGTGGCTGAACGTACTTTGGGCTGACCTTGGAGCAGAACTGGATGGTGGAGGGCAAGTGACAGTCAAAGGCCTGTCTCCACCCAGGGAAGCCTGGGAGAACTTGCAAGTTAGTCTCAGTGGTGAGCACTACTGTTAGTCAGCAGCGGGTAGGTCTCTTGACGAGCTGATGAAGGATCTGGAACTTCAGGGAATGGCTGGGAGGACTGGTCTGTCCCAGTTGCTTGTCAATCCTCACTACAATGACAGAATTTAGTGTAGCAAATCGCACTTTTTCTCTACCTGTTGCACTGGGCTATAGTTACTTGTACTGTAAACATCCTTTAGGTGTTAATCCCATTTGAAAAATAGGATTTTCAAGCTGAAGCAGCTTCCGCAATGAGCTGGATTACAGCTGGGACCTTGGGAAAAGGTTTTGTGACAAAAACTTCTTACAGTGACGCTGCTCAGGCCCACGTCTTTGAAGGCTTCTGCTTTTGTTGTAAGAGAGACCTTTCGTGCAACCTTCATCAGGTGAGGGGGACACACCAAAGGCAATAGCTACATCACCTTCCTGTGTTACTGAAAAGGTCAGCTGAGAGTTACGGCTAAACTACAGTACTACCACAAGATGTTGCTCCTCCCAGCAATAGCTAGGGTTGGGCTTGGAGCCTACTTCAGTAGCACATGCGCCTTTCTCTGCTATTGCTTTGCCTATTTCCCATATTGCTTATGGGACGTGCCCTGGAATAGCCATGCCAAAGGGTTTCGCTTTGGCAATACGTACCCCTCAAGCTGTGAACTGGGACCTAGCGGCTGTTGTGGAATTAATATAAACCAGCTGTGACGTATGAATACTTTAAAATATAATTTTCCCCTTGCCTTCTAATTTAATTACGTAGTCTGGATTGGTTCATCCCCTCCCTGATAATGTATGTTGACCACCAGCAAAGGTGCTCCTGTTTTGGTAGCTGGGATAAGGAGTGCTGAACAGTCCTTAGGAAGGCGGTCTGGGTAGAGC